CTCCGTACGGTACTCTCCCTCTCGCACGGCCAGGAGAAATGAAAGCCACGTTGTGGAGCCGAGCGCTGACGGTGACCTTCTGGTGCCGCCAGCTTCTTCGGGCGTGAGAGTTCACTGGAGCCACTTGGGGCACGCAGTGGAAACGTGTAAAGTGGTAGTCTCCGACTAACAGGGCTTAGTCCGACTAATCCCAAGGGAAATCGGGAAAATCAAATATAATGAAAATAAAGAGAATTAAAAAAAAATATTGTTATGAATATTCCCAATTCATTATTACTACCGGGCACTAGGAGCAACTACTAATAATAAGAAACATTAATTTTAACTAGGTAACTAAACCAGCTAAGCTAAACTACCGGGTCTGCCTGGGGGAGAAAAGGAATGTCTTCGAGTAGCAAATAAATAAGAAAAGAGAGCCACGCGCCGCGTTTACTCTTAAAGAGAGAGAGAGAGAAAAGGAAAAAGCGAAACAGCAGAGAAGAAAATACTCCAGAAGAAATCGAAAAGGCAAGAAGAACGAAATAGCGATAGAAAGTTTCGGGTGCTGCTGTATATTCGATACCAACCTGATACTCTTCCTTACCGATTCATTACATCTCCTCCACTGTTCTTCGTCTTCTTCTTCTTTACTTCATCAACCTGACATCGCCTGCCTGCGCCTGTCTGCCTACCTGGTACTTTATTCCTTCCTTTGCCTCTCGTCTCCTGTCATTCTCTGATCCGAAACCAAACTGACATTTCCTTTTTGTTTTTCCCCCTCCAGTTCAACTCTCCCAACCAATACCCCAACACCCTCTTCATTTCCTCAGGTTTCCGTGGTCATTCCTGCGTGAATCCCATTTGCGGTGGTGCGATCGTCTCCGATTCCTCCCTTCAGCTCCTAGAATATCCCCGAGAAGCTCCGTCGAAGAACACCTTTGGGTGCATTTGTTTGACGCCCACGGATCTCCCGACGATCCCCTGCTTCAGTGCGCAGTGTTTGCTAGTAACGAGCTGTGCTTAATCCCACTTGCAAATCTGTCAGCCAGTTTTCTCTTTCTCTGTAAGTTCCTCTCCGTGCGCTCGAATCGCGCTCCGCCCACCACCAATTTCCCTTCGCCGCCTTTCCTGAGGAGGGGATCTCTCCCAGGCGCACTCTACAAGCCGGTCCTCAGGCGCATATTTTCGGAACGGGCGCTTGCCCCTCTTTGCTTTTGCGGAGTGGGTGTTCTCGTTGGCGCATCGTCTTCTGTTGCAATTTCTTTTTCTGGTTTGGCGCGCAATGTTGTTGTTGGTTCAATATCAACTTGCCTGCGCGAAAAGAAAAAGAAAAAACCACAAAAAAATAACATGACGAGATCCAATCACTTGCGCGTCCTGCGAAGAATGTCGGAAAAGCTGGTCCAGTCGAACGCAGAAGATCTCATCTTACATTATTATCGTTGTTTATGCGCAGCTTACTAACCTCTCACAATCTTGTCACACAGTGCAGAAACAATTTACCTTGTCGCTGTTCTTACTACGACATACCCCTCCTCTCTGCAGACGCTGTGAGTGTTGTCGTTGAAACCCGCCGAAACAAACCGAGTGTGCCGACATTGGCGTGTTGCAACCCCCGGCCAACAACCCCCGGTGACTTGAGAATCCTTGCAAACTCGCGGCAAAAGACGTGGCGACACACTTTCAAGTGATTTACACAACCTCGGATTTTGTTGAAGTGCGCTTCAACTGTCAAGTATCTCGAGACTTTCAGGGTCGCTGCAACCATCCGACCAGATTCCGATCGGTGTCTCGGATACTGCACCAACAGGACTGTCCCCACCATCTCGCAATACCACGGCTGCCGGAGTTACAGTCGTCGCTTAGAACCCCGAGGAGCAACGTCGTGGAGACAATCTACGGCTCAGCACCAGAACGCCTTTCGTGGAGACCTGATCTGTCCCTGACCGCCGTCTTATCACTTCCCCGCGGGGTCGGGTCATGGACATCACAAACATCCTAAATAGAAAAGGTTCTACCGCCATGGTTGCCGCAGACACACCCTTCGATCCAGCGCACCTGGTTCCGAACCCTGGTATGGATCATTCGCCAAAGATGAAGGCGGAGCCTGGCGCCGAGTCAACCGACCAGCAGGTTCTTTCGTACCCCCATCATGCTCAGCTGAGTCAAATGCCGAGCATGCAGCAAGATTTGCGCTATGCACCGCAGGCTCATCCCAACCAAGGCTTGCCTCTTTTGCAAAACACCTTCATTCCCGGAGCATACGCTGGCGCTGGTCAATTACCAGCCAATGTTCCTCAGGGACGGCCGGATCCACCTCCAAAGACCTTCCACTGTGGAACTTGCAGCAAGGGATTTGCTCGTCGTAGTGACCTTGCACGTCACGGTAAGCACATCCTATCCATCGTCAAGCAGTTGGTGACTCTCTAACGCCACTTCAGAGCGCATCCACTCGGGCATCAGACCCCACGCTTGTGATTGGCCGGGGTGCGGTAAACAATTTATTCAGCGCTCGGCCCTGACCGTGCACGCTCGCGTCCACACTGGCGAAAAGCCACACATGTGTGAAAGATGCGGCAAGGTATGCATATGTGGTTTCTTCAATGCGCCCCACACCCGCTAACCTTTTATCTTGATATGTAGCCTTTTAGCGATTCGTCGTCTCTTGCTAGGCATCGCCGGATCCACTCCGGAAAGCGTCCTTACAAGTGCCCCTATGCGAATTGCCAGAAGACGTTCACTCGCCGCACTACGCTGACACGGCATCAAAATCACCACACTGGTACCATTGAAGAGGCCGCTGCTGAGACTGAAGCCAATTTGAGGCAGAACAAGGAGCGGGCGAGAGTCTCAGGAGATATGTTCTCTGACCATGGCTCGGTTCATTCGACCCCTTCCCCAGCGCATCATCCTATTTCGCCTGTTGGCGATCTGCCTCCGCTAAATATGCCCCGCTCCGACTACTACATGACCAACGGTTCCATCCCGCCTCATGTCCGAGGTGGCTTCCCTCAGGTTAGCCCTCGAGCTTCTCCCACGGCCACGTCGCCCTCCTTGTCAAGCTATGGCAGTGCTCCGCATGTTCGACCTTCAATGACTTCGCATCCTTCGGGCTATGGGCCCCCTCAACCTCTTGAGCCGCCTGCCAACAACGATCACCGGCCCAACAGCGTCAGTGGTAGCCCGCATATGACTAGCTTGGGCTGGGCTTCTCCGTCTCATTCCAGCATCCCTTCCCCCGGCTCTGCTACCGACTTTGGTTATCCTGAGCCGAGCGGTGCGGCGTATGCGAGCTCTATGCCTCCCCACATGTACTTCCCCAGCTCGACCATCAGACGACCCGCCAGCACCGAACCGGACAACTATGAAATGAAGCCTAGACTGGGTGACAGCGCATGGTCCACTCCGGTTTAGTGTGGCAGTCAACTGGGTTGCTTCAACAAACGGCAGGGCCGTATGTTTGAAGCATTCAAATGACTGGAAGTCATTGAGTTCTCTAGAGGGATGACTTGCACACCTTACCACCGGTGGAGTCAAACATCCAAGTTTGCTTTCCTATTTCCTTTGTTACATTTCCTTTGTTGCGTCGATGAATTTCCTAGCATTTCCCACATTGTCACTCATCTTTCACATCATCATCATCATCATCATCATCATCATCCTGGCATCTGTTTGTTTCTGTTGATAGGTTTGCTAGCAACACCATCATAGCATACACCAGTGTGGGTCTGGAAAAGAGCACTGGATGGAGTCCTGGCTGATTGTTATCGTTGTCGATTTCCCCTTTCCCCCTTTTCATTCTGATTATTTGTTGTTCTTTCCCAATGGCGAAATGACCCGGACAAAGCATAGATAGAGTTGGAAAAGGTTGTTCATCATTTGGCTCAAGGCTCGGCTGTATGGGGTTTCTATGGGTGTCATTTGTGTCTTCTTCGATCTGGACTTTTTCCTTCATCTATGTGCATTGTTTTATACCTAATTTTCGTCTCATCCGCATTTGTTTTTGCCTCCCTGTTTCCGTGTTTCATTTGTTGTGATTCTCATTTTCATTTGTCACTCCTTCCCGTACCTTGCCCTTCCTCTCGTCGGCATCAATCCCGATTTGTAGATATCGATTGCCTAGCATACTACATACATATATACTTGCCCCACCAACTACTACATAATCAATTGTGTTCTCGATATTTCATCCTACTCTGCTCTTGGGGCCGCTCTTCCATTCAGGGTTGCAGTCACTGTAGTTGCTCCGTCGATGTGCGTAAACAACCCGCGATGACGTCATCTAAGCTTGGTAGTACTATAAGCATAAGCAGACTTCCTCCCTCTAGCTTACCCCAAAGGCATAAAGCACATCATCGCCAAAACAATGATCAGCATGTAGAGGCCTGCATCCCTCTCCTAATTCCATTTTGTGATTGTGATTTAGGGGTTCGAACAAAGCTACTATAGCAGAAGGGTCGCGACATCGCAACCCGATACACAGAGAACAATGAAAATGGACTTGGTGGAAAGAATGAAGCTTGATTTTGCGTAAGAGAGAGAGAGCAAATAGTTCGAACCGAAAATCAGAAGCCTGCTGGGATTGCCTAATTGATATCAAATGGATTATCGCGATAAGAGAACAATGTCGAAGGAGGAAGAGAAAGGAAAAAGAAGGGGTGGGGGGGAGAAGGAAAAGAGACGGTTCTTGGGATGGCTTGGTGCTTCCTGTTCCCCCGTGCCTGCATGGGTGCCTGCGTGAGCTGCGAGGTGTTGGGTTTTGGGGGGTTAAACTGCCTCGGATGTACAGTGTTATTCATCATTCAGGCCTTTCTGGGCCAGGAGTAAGTACCAGAGGGGTAGGAGGATGTCACATGACCGAGCACAGGACAATGTAAGCAGGGAGGTTCGGGTTCGGGTTCGGAGGATTAGTTGTCGGGATCATAAGTGCTAACTTTCAGGCAATGAGAGGCATGTTGGGGAGGTAGATAGGAGATAAGAGAAGGATTTCTTTTACTGGCGTCTTTTTCTCTCTCTAGTTCCTAATAGGGCGATCCCATGGTTGGAGGTGTGGTGTTCATCAAGCCGTTACCGGGCACTTGAGCGGGACATGAGCACACGCACGCGGGGTTACTGCTGCTGCTGCCACCGCTGCCTAGGGCCCGGGCGAGGATATTGGCTGCGAGAGAGGTGATAGGTGTGGTAGCTCTGGTTGAGGCACCTCCTTCACGGGAGGAGAGGAGGCCGAACCGGAGGAAAACTTCGAAGGTAGTGACGAGGATGGAGACGCAGATGAGTACGATGATGATCCATGTTTGATCTGTGGTGTGGTTGTCAAGGTTATTATTCGATCTTATATCTTGAAGGGGAGGGAAGAAGATTGTGCAAAGGGTGGGTTGGGAAGGTGTCGGTCGGCCTTACGGGAGGTTTTGTTGTCGGCAATAGAGTCGGAAAGAATCTCTGCCAGGTCAAGGAAGACTTTACAGCGCTCGTTCAGAACTTGAATTCGAGGCTTGATCTCGAGGTACTCGCGCACAGCGATATAGAGGGGATATAGGGTTGGTTCGCTTTCCCAGAAGAAGTTGGGGACGTCGAGAACGTTGGATGCTGGTTTGGGTAGTCAGTGTGTGTGACTTGAATGGAGGGGGTTGGCTCAACTGCGAACAAACGTACACAGGTTCACTTCTACGCGGCTCTTGAACAGACTACCCAGGATGCGGAACACTTCGTCTCGTTTCATGCCAAGATTGCCTGTCATGGCGAGTCGGCGGGGGACGTCCTTGGCCTCGGCCATCTGGCGAGCCATAACTTCTTCGAAGAAGCAGAGCTTAGTGCTTTGTGCGATGCCATGACTGATGGCCAACTTGATCATGTGGTCGCCGCTTCGAAGGGTGATCATGTCGTTGTAAACGCGCGGGCGAGAAATCTCCGTCGAGTACTCGAAATGAAACTCCTCCGTCTCAAAATCTTCCTCCTGCAGGGGCAAGGTCGCCAACGGGATTGGAGACCCGGTCACGGACGAGGTTGCAAACGCCAAATCGGCGAGGAGATCCTTCTCCTGTTTCTCGGTGAAGTTCCAGAACACCACTACTCCGTAGCTGAACACGAACATCTCCGCGACATTATACGGCAGACGTGCGGCTACTGGTGCCGCCACGGCCGTCGCGTCTGCTGGAGCTTCATGACCAGCGCCGTCGACGTCGCCCATGAAGGGTTGCGCCTCGGAGCCAGGCACGGAACGATGCTCCTCTTGTTCTTCCTGTTGTGGATGGTGCCCTTCCTCATCCCCGTGTCGCTGCGCCTCACTGCGCTGCTGATGCGACGACCGGTGTTCATGACGTCCGCCAACAACCGAATGCTCCTCCGCGTCCACCAGATAATCCTCGTGATGATCCCGCAGCTCATTGCGCTCAATCTCCTCATCGAGGATCGACTTCCCGCCCGGCTTCTTCACCATGGGGCTACTCCTCAGCCTGTAACCATCCAGGCCCGGCAACAGCGGCAGATGATACGCTGTGTACAAACAATCATCATACAGCTTCGTGCGGCCGCCATGCCTCTCCTTCACAAACGAGGCCAAGGAGCTCATCTTGTACGCCTGCGCAGTGCAGTAGGCCGTCACCCGCGCCAGCTTCTCGGCCCGGCGCGCCTTGGGCAGACGCTCCGCATAACTTTTCGCCTTCTCCGGCGCGACCTTGCGCTTGCGCAGCAGCTCCTCGTCCGCCAGCAGCGGCGCGATGTCGTTGTCCACGCCAAAGTCCGCGCCGTCCAGCCGCATCTTCTTCTGCGCGAGCAGGGTCTGTCGCACCGCCTCGGGGTCCAGGTTCTTGTCCCTGGCGACGCGCTGCACGAACTCCTCGTCCACGGCCTCCTCATCCTCCTCCTCGCCTTCGTCCTCCTCGTCTTCCGGCAGCTTCCCGTCCGCTTCGGGGAGCAGGACGAGCTTCTCGCTGACCTTCGTGGTGCGGGGCGGCAACCGCGGTTGGGCTGCGAGGCGTCGGATCGTCGCCGCCGCGGCACTGCCGCTGGCTGCGCCGATGCTGCCGCCGCTGGAGGAGCTCGCTCCGCCGGCCGCAGCCCCGATCAGTCCGCCGGCCGCCGATGCGATGCGGGAACGTGGCCGCGCCCGGGCGCCCTGCGGCGGGTACCTTTGTTGCATGGAGGGCACGTCGGAGGTGTATTGGAGGACGTTGTCGACGGTAATGAAGCGGGTTGCAGGGGAGCGACGGCGGCGGGGTTGGGAGGAGGTTTGTTGATCGCGCGAGTCGGTGACCTAGTATCCAGGGAGCGTACAGTAAGTATTTATGCGTAAGGAACTGGAAGTCCGGAAGAGAGAGCGACAAGGCTGATGGCCACTTACCAGGACATGGGGACTTCGTTGGCCCAGCCCTCGGCCTCTTGAGGGATTCATGATAATGGGAAGGTAATCTGAGGTATCAAGGACAGCTCCTGCAGAATTGAAAGAGCCTTTCGCTCCGGGGCCAGTGATGAAGCAGTGACGACAGTAGCTGTAATGATGCGCGAGCAATACACTTTGAGATTCTAAGCCGGAGACCCCAAGATCCGTTCAAAAACAACCGGCTGGCCGACCGGGGGGAGCGAGGGGGGGTTATAGAACTATCCGCAACGCGCAGCAGCTCGAAAGACGGTCACTCTCGCCCGGAGAAGAGCCCCACACCATGGAAAAGCAATTCAGAGCCAGGTGATGATAACCTTCAATTGTATTTCACGCTGCACTTGTGAATGTTTTGGAGAATAAGGCCCTCCTGAAGATCGACGAATGATAGCTGAAATGGCGAGAGATGTCTCGGTGCTTTGCCCCGGGGAATATTTCGTGGTTCAGTTCGGGTCGCCGATAAAGCACCAGCACCAGCAGCTAAGGCTGCTGACCGCCTGCCGAAAGAGACCGACAGATGACGTCGGTCCAGAAGCCCGCCTGACATACCAGACAGTAACGATACCGGTATTTAATACAAGAGACGCGGAAATATAACGGTACCGGAATTACAGGAATGATTATTGAGACAGCCACGTGCACCGGGTGGGGGCTGTTCCCTGATCAGGATTAGCGGGGCTTGTCCATCAATCATCCAGGGTTGATCCGGGGTAGATTTCCAGTTGACATACTCAGTAACTTTCCCTCAATTGAATTTTAAACACAATCCATGTATGTAACTACTCAGTAGATATGCATGTTTCGTTTCGGGTAACACTTGGGACTTGAACCTTGAGCAAGGTACTGGAGTACAAGTTCAGTACCTGACTTAGGGTTGGGAGCACAAGACAAGAGAAGAGTAGATAAAAGAGGGGAGACGAATGGGGCGTCCCTGGAAACATTAGTTGGTTAGGTAGTTACTCCGAATCTCTACTGACTAACCTACCTCACCTCTCTCCGAGGCTCCTCCACTCTCTCTTTCTCCTTTTCCTTTCCTTACTGGTGGTGGGGTCAAGAAACTGCAGAGAACCCAGCCAGCACCACAATGTCAGCCACACGCACGAGGGGCAAAGTGGCTTGCAACCCCGATTTAGCATCGTGCATGACCTGAAGTTCTCAATTCCCTCGTTACCAGAATACCGCACACGAGAATTAAGGCAGGAAGAGCGGGACGTACCTCCGTCAGGCTGCCTCCGGGTTCGCTCACCTGCCAGGCCAGGCATATCCATCCGATCCCTCCGATTGCTGCTACTAATCCTCGCGGCCCACCTCCCCATTGACTTTGACTCGTTCACCACAGGTTGGAAGGCGGGGAACTTCGATAAGTTTACTGAATTTACTGCAGTGTACTTACAAGGAGACTAGACGACTGGCGTATCAATCAGTATTCTCATTGGTTTCCTATCTCGTTTAATTCTACCGCTCTTCCTCCCCGAGGCTGCTGCAAGTTTGTCCTACTCAGGACTAACTCCTTGCAGCTGCCTTGCTTCCCGGCCGCCATGACAAGTCCGGCCGCTGAGTTTGCATCATAGTATTAATAAATCATTCCACTTACATGCACGGGCGCTACTCCCAAGAGATAGCGACATCGTGGTGCAGATATGCATATAAACAAGACAAAGGAAAAGAACGATAAAAGAAAAACATCAAAAACATGCAAGGAAAAACATTAAGCATCGCAGACGCCCCCGAAGCATTCTGGTGATCTGCTTCGTTATGCAATCAACATACAGTGTCAAAAATCAGTAGCAATGATCATTGGCCACCTGAAGGTCCGTGCTGTGAATGATCCGGGCCTTCTATCCAAGACAAAACGTAAGACATCGAGTCCACGGCGATATCCAATGCGCCGTCGTCAGTGTCAATCCCTCAGCCGTCGGTCTTCGTCCCAGATCTCCTTCTTCATCCTCTGCAGCCGAACATGTTGCTTCTGAAGGCGGTCGATGTCTACCTGAGACGGTTTCGCTTGCGACGCTAATGATTCATGAAGCGCGTAGTACTTGGCATAGTATTGTTTGAACTTGCGCGACTTCTCATGTAGCTGCTGCATGAGCAGTTCACGACTAAGGGGTGGCGAAGCACTGCCAGTACTGCCACTGGACGTGCTTACTGCCCGGCGCCTCTTATGCTCCAAGTCGCCAGTAGTCCGACCCTGGCCTGGAGTATGGGATGAAGGTCGATCTAATTCTGCCTTGCGTTTTAACGGATTCGCAAGCTCGGACGGCTTGGCCACCCCATTCGGCTTTGTCACTTTTCGAATTGTGGGGGCAGCCGCTGCGAGAGGTCGGGTTGGCTTGGAGATTTGAGTGATGAGCGGAGAAGAGGAGGAACTAGACGAATTATTCTGGCTTGACGAGCGGCTGCGACTTGGGACATCAGAGGCATTCGTTGGGGGCGACGATCCAAGCGGCGACGGTTTCACAGGGGACTTTTGGGCAGGCGGCCGCGCGGAAGGGGGTCTCTTCGCAGCAGGAGGTTTGCTAGCAAGTTGAGGAGAAGAGTCCGCTTTGATTATAGGGTCCGGGTGCTCCACCTTGGGGGTCGGCACATGTGACAGTTCCCTGTTCGAAGCTGTCTCGACCGGCTTGCTGGCAGGCTTGGTTTGTGGTTGAAGTTTGAAGGGCTCTGCCGGTGGCTTCTCTGCGGACGAGGCGTCAGGCATATCCGTGTCGTCCTCATCAGAATCGTGTACAAATTCCGCTGATTTAAACTTGGTATCCGGTTTTCCGGCGGGTTTCCGCTCAGCCTTCTTTGTCACACGACCGGTCAATGTACTATTTGCTGCAGCCTTGACTTTGGGGGTTGAGCGCTTCAGCGGAGTATCCTTGTCACCAACCCGCTTCTTGGCCACGGTAGGCACAGACCTGGGAGCTGATGTAGGCTCCCCAGCTCTGGGGGTGAGGCCAGATGCACTGCCCTTGTCGGTATCTTGGCCGGTGGTGTAGCCGTCTTTGCCATTGTCATCGGACGGTTGCACTTGTATCCGAGGGGTCAGGGCCTTCTTAATGGGGCCTGTTCGCAAGTCCAGCCGCGAAAGGCACTTGCCCTTACCCCGTTCCTCTTTCGGCAGAAGCATCTGCCAGAGCTTGTCCGAGCGAGAGATCCGCATGCGATCGAATGCAGAGATAGCATTGTCAATTGCCTCCTGCCGGTCCTCCTGAGACGGGTACGGAAACTTCCAGACGTCGAGATCTTTGTAGGATTTATCTCTCAGGTCGTACTTCTCCGGGTTGATTCGGTTCTCCAGGCCATATTTCCGGGCCAATGTCTCGCAGTCTTCGAGGGAGGAACGGGTCTGGCGCGCCAGGAACTGGGCGGACACGGCGCGAATAGCGAGGAGGTGGATGAAGGGGACCTTGAGGGCTTCGAGGCGAATCCGGTCTTTATTCTGAGAAAGAGGTGCAGAGGTGGGCGTGAGAGGGGTGAAGGGACCTCCCGGAGATCGAGCCACTCCCAGAGCCGGGCTCGACGATACCGACCGATTGGCAGCAGTGAGCAATCTGTCTTTCTCCAGTTCCACCTTGCTGCGAGCCAGGCGGGCGGCCTGCTTGCCGGTGCTAGACCGACTGTCCCCCGCCCGGAGAGCTCGTACATCATCACCAGCATTGATGAAGTGTGTTTTGCCCTTTCCCCTTTCAAAGGCATTCAAGCTTTGCTCGAGGTTGGCTAATGCCTGATCTGTGGCTGCGGTAGCCTCCTTGGCCTTCTGAACCTCCAAGCTATGACTCAAAACACCCGAAAAATATAGGTTCTCTTTATCAGCGGCATTGCTAGTGTAGAGCTCGGACCGGTGCGTTTCGAGACGGGAGTGGAACGAATGGGATTTGGTGCCGTAGTGGAGGGACGGATGTTTTCCGAGGCGAAGCCGAGCTGTTTGGTCGTTGCGAAGGCTCTGAATAAGTTCGTCGAGTGTGCTCTGCGCGAGATTCAATCGCATTATTTGAGGTGGTTTTGCTGCCGCATCATTGCTGTGGTTGTCCCGACGGAGAGACAACCCGGTCTCGGGAACCTCCAGGGCGGACATGAGGCCGTAGGAGAAACAATGCGGTTTGAGGGAGAGACAACAGACGTTCGACAGGACGAAAGGCGTCCAAAAGATGTTGACAGTGGGTAGTAGCTGAGAGTGTGAGCTCCTCTTGTCTTCAGGATCCGAAACAGAGGCGGATGGCAGCGTGAGTGCTGCAGGTCAGCGGCCGAATGCACGGGAAGGCGAAGCAAGACAATCCGCCATAGATCGAGTAACAAAGAGTGGGAAGAGGATTGGAGGAGTCTGCAGGCTATAGAGCAAACGGGAATGGAAAGTTAACAAGACCCATGGCAAGGAGGCTGGTCTTGTAGTGACTAGGTATGTTTTTTTTTTTTGATAGAGAGCGTCACAAGTGGGCGGAAAGGAGGAAGGAGGGGGAGGAGAGAAAGAGAAAGAAAGATGAGATGAGATGATGCCAAAGGAACGGGGATGCGAGTGTAAGGCGGCCTTGGAGCGGAGAGCGTAAAGAGAGCGTCAGGACCAGAACTAAGAAGTGGGGAGAAAGCGAAGGGCGGTATGGTAATGGAAAACCAGGTATTGTACCTTTTTATTTCCCTTTTTCTTTTTTCGTTTTATTACTCTTTGGGCCAAGAATTGTAGAAAGAGATCCAAAGAGAGTGAAGGAGGGTGTGTCAAGGGCCCACTGAAGGTTAATGAAATCACCCGGCAGAGAACAATAGTCAGGAATTAATTAAGAGCTTTCAAGGGAAAAGAACCATTAATAATAATAGCACCTTTGAGAGGGTAGAAAAAGGCAAGGCATTATTATTATTTTTTTCTTAAAAAAAGAACCACTAACTACACCCGACCAGTTGAGACTAGGAGAAGGTTAGGTACGAACTAAACCTGAGCATCAGCATACGGTAGGTGATTAGGAGCCATCCCATCCATCATACGAAGCTCCAATCGAAAATTACCACTGTTGTGTCGAATAATTGCCTAATGCCTACCAAATGATATTATACTACAATAGCATTCTATTCTCACTACTTGAAACCAAAACGATTTCCGCCACTAGGATCAACTCAATCAAAATGGGCAGATTTATTGTACAGTCTTGTTGCATGCAAGATTCAAAGCAGCACCCGAAAGACAATCATCCCGGGAGACAAAAGAGGCGGAGAGAAGAAAAGGAAAAAGTGGGGAAAGATCTCAACGCAAGGCGAAGATCCCTAGGCTTTCATTCCTTTACTATGGCATTCCCAAAAGGGCCTAAGAGGAGAAGATGAGAGAGAGGTCTAAGCCTGCCTTTGAAGTACCATATTGCTAGTCATTTAGAAAGAAGTTCTCCTCTTTTCAGTGATCTATAGTCATCATCGGTTCGATTGTCTAAGCTGGAAGACAACAGCGCGGAATAATGACTGTTCATCAAGGTTGATGAATGCGAGGGGGGGCCCTGAAGGTTAGAGCAGCCACTAGTCATTGGCAATGTATGGACTTGAGAATTCCCCAGCCCTGCCCTTTCTCCAGATGGTCCCCAGAAGGAGCGAGCCTGGAGGCCTGGAGAGAAAAAGCAGACTTCCCTTCTCGACCTCTAAATTCGACAGTGGTAGTCAAATCCTTGACGGGCATAGAAGTTAAGCTAGGTAAAGCGGGTATTCGGGGCATACCGTATCATGCCTCAGAGCTGGAGTTACTGGTAACTTACAGTCTGTAATCTCGTATCATCAGTATAACCGCCCCGATCTGAATTGAATTCAAAAAGGTCGGGTTCTGGAACAATTGATCCCTACCAACGATCAGTCCGCAAGACAAGATGGATAGATCGCATTGGTTGATGGACTTTCTTCAACGACGGTCTTTTTCTTCTTCTCCTTATTCTTTCATTTCTTATGTTGCATCCTCCCATTGTATGTGTGTATGTGTGTGTGTTCATATGTGTGTGCAGGATCTCGAAGGAAGCCACCCTTCTGAACCTGTTTCCCTCTTTGCTCTCATGAAGCTCAGTCAGAAAGAATGTATGATCTCATCGCCCGGCGGTCGAGTAACTGATTTTTGAACCTTTCTTTTTTTGACGTTTCCCAGGGCCTGAAAGCCTATCTTGGCGCACCAGGTGGGTTGAACTTGGAACCAATTTACTCGGTACGGAAATTGATTTACAGTACCTTACCAGACGTGCTGTGACCAACTCCGACTTGTACGACCCAAACTGAGCCAGCTCCAGTGGTGTGGTGTGGTACATGTACGGAATGAAACGGTGCTGCCGGGAATCAAGGTCCTGTGCCTTGACTACTTTGGGTCTCCGTTGCTAACTCAGCAGGAGACCAAGCGTGAGTGAGCGTGTGCGTGCCTCTCTTTTTCTACGCCATGGCCATGTCTCCTGCCATCGGGCGCCCCACTACCATCGGACAAGAATGATAGGTCTCCGGACAATCCAAGCCCACCTTTCTGTCTGCCTGCCTTCGTTACCTATTGGATCATTGAATCATTGAATCCTCCGTCCTAGGAAACAAAGGCTCAAGAGCCTCCTTGTTGTACAGCTTTATGGCCTTCCTTGGGTTTAGAATTTGAATGACAACGACGAATAAATCAAGAAGGACCCGGAGAAGTCAGAAGAATCCTGCACGAAAGTGGCGCGGGGCCAGATGCCGAAATCCAGATTCAGCGGTGGTATCAATTCCATGGGACCTCTTTGTCTTGGCACCGAGGGAAGGATGTTTGGCCAATGCATGTCATTGTATCCGGGAGCTATGTTGAGGACACGGGGTGAAGGACATTACCGTGTAGTAATAGAGAGCAGAAAGAAATCACTATGGACATCGCAGAGGCGAAGAGGATCTTAACGTACTACTTGTGAGCCAGACAAAGGTAGGCAGAAGAACAGCTAACAACCCAGCATGGATGATGTTAAGTTGACGGTCACATTAACTGGAAGAGCTGCTGCTCCCTCCTATTCAGGGTATTTGTTTCAGAATTGAGGGTGGTTTGGATTTCCATGGTCAATTGACGGACCATCACCCGTCGTCATCGGCAGCCATCCCATGATTGATTTAATACCAGGTACCAACGCTGTCACAGGATCACATAACCTCATTTGAATCAGTGGTTCAGCGTGACGGTAGATCATCCGCCGGCCAGCCTCGACCCTTTCCCACCCAAGCTTTTTTGGGTTTCGCCTCCCCCAAGAAAGTTAGAAGGGGAACCGAAAACACGCGCAGCATCTCACAGCCTCAACCAGAAAAGAAAAAGGAAGGAAGGAAGGAAAGAGAAAGAAAGATTATAAGTCTTCATATCATGCGGAACAGGCGGCAACAGTGACAGAGAAAAGCTTGGTATGGAAAGCACAGGTTGACTGATGGTGTTCGGACTTGGGATTAACTAGACGACTGACTAGAGGTAATAAACCACACGAGTTTCCCCGTCGGGTTGAACAACCCGACCCGGGACCAAGTCACGGGGAGGGTAGAACAGGTAGCTGAGTGATAGGTCCGACTTCATTTACGGGTAGTTATATACTCTTACAATCGTTTGGCAGGGTAGGTTGCAAGGAGGGCAGGCATGGTTACAGCCAGTAGCGAGTGATGCCGCATTGATTGATCGGATGCAGCAGTCGCTAGATCGCGGAAGCAGACTGGTTGGTAGACGGCAAATGGCCCTGCTAAGATCCCAGCCCTCAGTGTGCAGCATGTCGGCCGAGGCCTAACCGAAACAGACCTACCGGATGATCCTTCGTCTGAGAAGTTCTCTCCAGAAATCCATTGGATAACAGGTCTCCCAGCTACTAGTAATGGCAGTAGTAGTAGTCAGACGAGGGGATCATGGTTAAGGCACGGCTGATCAAGACAAGAAAGGACGAAGTGTCAGATCGTAGAGAAATAACAAGAAGACCGCAAGAGTTTCATCAACGAAAGAACTATTGGCTCGCGTTTACCCAGAACCGGATGGGCCAATCTCTGATCATTCCGGTTCAGTAATGAAGGGATGGTTGGAAGATTAGCCACTGCCAAACTGCTAGTCAGTCCGGAGAACGGATAGCTCTGACTGATGACGGTTGCCGCCTTTCTTCCCGATTTCGGCAGCAGACGAGTTATAGGTTCAAGTTGGTTGCAAAGCCATTTCATTGACCGTGCATCTATCCCAAAGAGCAGGTCTTGGCTATTGAAGGAGAAGCAAGCTGATCCAGAAGGTGTAGATAGTTAGTAGTAGTTGAGCCCACTTTAAGTGCAAAGTGAGTAAGGTCAGTACATAGAGGTGGGGAAAGAATGCGCACAGGCACCCGGACCTCCAAACCCTTCGTGGTACTCCGTAAATTGCCAACATTGGTACGGAGTAGAGTAAATGTGTAAACGAACCGACGCGAGAGACCCCGCGTGTAAGTACAGAGATACTTACAGTATGGTCCTGCAGGTGCGCGTTTTCCACATCTGCTTATAGTTGATGTTCGCACCTTGCTGGACAACTGGATCGTCCTTGAGCTGCGTGTGAATGATTGGCGAGGCGGTCCACGTGTGATATGCCTGCAATGCGAAGGAGAGGGCAAACAAAGCACTGTGCCAGAGCAAGATGGAATTTTTCGTAGTCTTTAAGGAGTTACTCGTAGTTCTTACTGTGGTAAGTGTGTATTCTAAATGAGAGAAAGTGCCTAACTTTTGCCACTGCCGCCGAGAGAAACCACCATTGAGGGTAAGATGGGCCCTGCCGTGAGCTTTTTTGCCTTACTACTCGAGTTCCTACGATGCGTATCGCAGCAGGTAGACAGACACACTCTATCTTCCAGTCTTATTGTTGTTGCTGTGGCTGAACACAGTGCATTTACTTGCATTGCAATTTGTCTTTCCCTTTGCCTTACCCATACCGATCGTTCAGGGCCAGTGACGTAATAAAAGTAGTCGAAGGTTGCCCTGCCAGAGATCGTGCCCTACTTCCAAGTTGTCATGAGGGGCCATATCAGTCGGTCTCACCGCGCGCCCGTCGCGGGTGTGGGCGCGCGCGTGTCCGCAACGGAAAAGGGCACAACGTACACTGCTAGTAAGCACAGTACTGAATATCACTCGAGTCATTCAGATGCGCGTCGAATCGACGGAAACGTTCTCCAGAGATTTCGGTCGGTCTTTTTGTATTGTCGTGACTGCTGGGGGTCATCAATTTTCTGACAGAAATGAAGAATGCGCCCTATCATCAAATGCCCAGCACAGTCCGGGTCAATTTCTGTACACTAAGTACTGCACATCATGGATACAGATCTATGCCATGTCCAGTGAAGTGCGCCAATCAATCTGTTCCAGTGTCTTGCCTACCGAAACAGGCAAATTATTGCCTAGCAGTTCAACCT